AATCATACATTCAACTTCTATTCCTTATCACTTACTTACCTCTTAACGCTAACAAATGGCTGTTTGTGTAAACTGACATTACAAAACTATATACAGGACTGTTTCGGACCGCTAAAAGGTAAATAAAGTATCAAGAATAAGAGTTAAATATTTGAATTATTATAGGATACCATTCTAAAAGCCAGAGAAAGCTTAAACTACACGAAATAAATACCTAAAGTAGCGACAAAAAATCGTCGGCGTAAATCGAAGGTTTTTACAAGGCTTGGATCTGTAGCTCTCTGCTTTTTCTGTCTGAATTTTCTGAAGCAGAGAGCTACAGTTCTGCAGCTAGTAAAAAAAAAATGAAAATGAAAGGTATGACAAAACATTTATTGACTAAGTTGTCGGCAGAATGTGCTTTGTCGATCCTCGAACCAAACTGTCTGCCTTCGGCCAAACGACCTCAGACCTCACCTTTGCACATGACGTTAGAGTAGATTTCAAATACGAAGTCAAAACTCCACTGTCCCTACGAGCTCAGAGCTATTATCACAAAATGTCCCTGTAAGCCATTTGCACCTTTATTCCCACTTCGATATAATAGACGTTATTTTGTGCAAATTCTCCTCAAATTATCACAATTGTTGGTTGCAGCGGCCATTGACGGACAAATGGGTGACAGCGGGAAAACACCACTCTCAACATGCTGAAAGAATTTTTTGAGAAGCCCACTGACTTAACCATTTTTGCTTGTGGGGCTATTCTTACATGTTTCAGTCAAAAGTTTTTGAAAGAACGTCCGGCATTATGTTGCCCGGGTATGTTTCTGGTTTTCCGTATATGGATCGGTTACAGTTTTGACTCTTTGGAGTTGGCATTGATTTGGAAAACCGGAATTATCCAGTTTTCTTCTGATGCGCGGACACTTCTCTTCTTTGTATGGATTGCAGTCTGTGTTTCTTTCATCGTCTCTATAACGTTTATTAACATGTGTTGTTGTAGGAATGAATTAAAGACGGTCTACCGACTGTGGATACTAGCAATCTTTAAGGTCACCTCTTGTTGTAACGCTTTATTTATTTTCACGGAAACTTACACTCGGCGGGATTCTGGGGAAATCGCTTTGCCTCTTCAGGTAATCATACTGTTGATATCTGTATGTGATATTATTCTCGGTCTTGCCGGCTTCATTTTAACTGCCAGACTTTGTCATAAACGGAATCACCATATCAAACCGCAGCAGCCGCCTCCATAGCAACGCCTCCTTAGCAACACGCTTGGAAATTATTGGATGGATGTACCACACCACCTAAACTCAGTGTGCCACTCGATTGTATCGATAAATAGTTTTGGAAAAAGTATAATAAACATTTTTCAAATTTTGTCTTATCCTGTTTTGCATATAGTAGATATAATTTTCCCGATGATGATAATGGACACATATCCGAGTTGATTCAGAAAGGTGACATTGTACATGTATGTTATTCAAATTCTTCAAGGTCGCAAAATAATGCAGCAAGCTGTAATGCTTTATTGTATATTCGTTTTCGAGTTACTGCAAAAAAATAAAAATTAAGTAAAGTTTTCACAAGAATTTCTGGATCTTAATTTAACCACAAATCTGCAAAACCCAGCTTTGTATAAATATAATTAGGCAAAATGTTCATTAATCAACTTGAAAATAAATAATTTATGCATTTACATGTTTTGGTCTTGCAAATCAGATGAAAACTAACAAGTTTACAACGTGGATGAAGTTTCCAGTCAAGTTGTCCTCAGATTTATGACATTCACAAAGGTTGAGAAAAAAAAATTGATCCCGAGAGACCAGATTTAATAACATTTTGCAAGACATCTTTTGAACAAAGATTTATACAATAAATTCCCAAATCTTTCACTTATGTGTAACAATTATTACACTGCTTAGTTATCGAAAAAATAGTTATAGGAATCACAAAATGTTACTTTTACCTTTGTCTTACATTTTCAGATTTAGCACAGGCAGTACACTTCAGGAAAAATGCCAGATTTTTTAAGTTCACTAATTTTAATTATGAAGTGCAAACGTAGATCTAGAGAAAAGGCTTTTTAGCCAAGAAAATAACATTTATCTGAAGAAGTAATGTACTGAAATATATATATATATATATATATATATATATATATATATATATATATATATATATATATATATATATATATATATATATATATATATATATATATATATTATATATCATAACAGGTAACTACAATAAGGCAACCTTTTTCAGTAACAAGGTTGAGGTTAAACCAATAATATTATCACGAGGCAGAATGGGAAAATAAAATCTTTTCTTATAGAACATGTTCATGACTTATGAAAATCCTTAAACATTTATTGCGTACAGTATGAAATAAAAAATCATCATCTTAAGATGGAACTGTCCTATCCATAATTAACCCACCTCCCCCGCTTAAATTGTCAACTAATTTTTCATAGTACGAATGGTTCAATTTAAAAGAGACGCTTTGCGTAGCCAATAAAAAAAATCTTAACTGTATCGTAAGCAAATTTTTTTTTGAAAATCTACATCAGGGCGATAAATCATGGATTAACTGACGAGAGCGATGGAAATATTGTATTTATCTATTCAACTTATAAATTTTCATATTAACTTTTGACGGAAGTAAATTTATACTAGTACATTGTTTTAAATTTGTTATTGTCGTTGTAATAGGTGTTTTATCTGTGACTTTTTATCTGCCTGCAGGCTATCAACATCTGGGAGAGGATCCGATTTTATTACTTTTACTTGTCTTCTAACAAATTTATCCACCTATATTTTATGCACGTACAAACAACTCCTTAAAATTAAGTATTCATATGAAATTTGTCACCATTTTAAATACATTCTAGGTGTCATTTGCAGCGCTTAATGGTTAATTGTTCATGTAAAAATTTGAAATAACCAATTTTAGGTTCCACACAATTTATTTTTGTATCTCGTTCATGTATTCTGTATTTACATGTAACTGTATTGCGGTTTGGGTAAGATATATAACGAGACCACGAATGATCAATTAGACAAAACCAATCTCTGCAAAATTGTTTATTGCTTTCATTAATGATGTCAATTCTAATTAGCAAAAGTGGTTAAGTAGTTATTCACTAAAGCTTCCGTTTCTTGTAAAAGGGAATATAAACCCCAAAGTTATGAAATCCTGAATGTTGTCGATTTTTATTGAGTGTCGCAAAAATCAGAAATTCGAAAAGTCAGGTACGGTTTTGCTTTTGAAGTCTGAAAAATCGTGCCAGTTTGGTGGCAATGACTTGTCAAACGTTAGTCATTTTTGCGGTGATTATCGAAAAAGTTTGCAAAAACCTTCACTCTCTGGATTGTAAGGTAATACATGAGGTGAAAAAAATGCTTACCGGTGATTAAGGACAATATCAATCAAATATGAAAATGTTTAAAAATTGTGACCATTTATTGCACGTAGATAATTGATTTTATACTTTACCCCATTAGATACACATAATTTGCCGTTTGAGAAATAGCGCCGAAAAAATTGCAAGTAATTGAAATTTTTGTACTTTGTGGTATTTCGTTTTGTTTCCAGTCGTTGCATTGCGATTTATTATACAAAATTTTATTGCACTTTCTCAAGAAATGAATAATATATTTATATATTTGTGAACGTGCAAAGTTATAACGATGTCCTGTTGCATTAATTTCTAGTGAGCAATTTTCAGAAAAGGTCAACTATTTGATGTTTATCCTTAATGTTCGAATTTAGAATCACTTATGTCATGGTTGTGATATTAGATTGAATTGAAAAAGTAAGTAGATTCGGACTAATGAGATAAATGATATGTTAATGCAGTATAAAACACGCTAAATTAAACTAAACATTTAATATTATTTGTATATATTAATATATCACAATTACACTGACCATGATTTTACATTTATTAAAGTAAATAATATTAACCTTGTAATGAAATACCAGAAACATATAAATGAGAAGAGAAAAAACCCTCTTCTTCCAATGAACCAATGAAATCGGTTTATTTAAATTTTGTTCTATTTTCATTTTTCTATTCTTTGTATTTTTATTTTTTCTTGTATTCTTTTTTTAAGTAACCGTTTATAATATTTCACAGAATAGATACATAATTTGTAACAGGTTCTCTTTTTTTAATGTACAGATGCATGCACGTTAAATACAAATTTCATCATTATTTGAAAAGAACAAAGTAATTGGCAATGTTTTCACCGTAAAACCTTTTGCACCATTTTTTGCATCTTGTGGTCTTTAAATGTTATCAATCCAAAAAATCGTTGTCGAGAAATCCGAATTCAGAAGAAAAGCTTTTTAAATTAAACTAATAACCGGAAGTTGACCATAACTTCTAGAGTCAAGAATATATGGAACTAAGACTATGAAGAATTTTCCAAATTTGTGCGAAACCTCTTTTTAGAATTAAAAGTCTTACAATCATTAAAGTTTTAAAACAAGTAATTGTCCATTTATGTTAATGTACATAAGTGTTTTAACTTTTATATCCTGGCGAACATAACACTTTATCACAAGATACTTTATATGACACGTTGTAGAAAACCATACTTGCATCAATCTGAGATTTAAAAGGCTTCATTTCAAATTCATTTGTCTAACTCGATTTTATAGGTACTTTGTGGTTCTATGACGAAGTTATAGCTGGCTTCGTTTGCTTTACCAAAAGATGACGAAAATCAAATCAAGTCCTCCCATTTTCAAATAAATGTTTAAAAACAACATTCATCTGATCTAGCTTTGTGACCTTATTTACATGTACAAAAGAGAAACAAACATGGGGAACACTTTTTTTTAAATTTCCCAAAACTAAATGAATATTTCAGATTATCTGACCAGGTCAAAATCATATATTCCATAAAATCAGCATATCATAATTTTTTTCGCGTGACAGCGCGCATCATTTATTCTGTTTCTGACAAGTTGACGGGTCTTGTATGCCCCGGTTGGCCTCTCTATGAATTTCAAATTGTACAATTGAGTCTTAGTGCCATTTACAGTTAAGATCGGAGGAGAACAGACGGATTCTAACGAGACAGGTAAGCTTTTTTTTTCCATCACCTAATCACTAATCGACTGAGTTTTTTTCTATTTTACTCTTTGGGAAAAAAAATCTCATGAATAATTTGTTTATTATTTTCTTTTTTGACTTATTTAGTTTTTCATAAAACGATTTAATAAGGTTTTTAGCATTTCTTTTTCTCTGGAAATTTTATGCTTTTTTTTTCTCCTATAACGATATCAAATGCATTTCAAACAAAATTCTGATTAGCTCTTTAAGAAGTTACTTTTAATTCACAAAAAGTTATGGAAGAAGATATAATTATGAAAGATATAAACATATAAATTGTTATTTAACACATTTTTGCTATTCTCATGCCAAAATTTTTCTATTAACATATTACGTTATGAAATTAAAAAACGAGTTTAAAGTCCTATCGTATGTTGTTTTCTTATTTATGAGAAACCCGAATTTCATTTAGACGTAATTACTCCGAAATTACACAAAAAATGACATCGTCTATCATCCTTATAACTCATTTGTTTTCCTGTCAAAGAATGGCAAATAGTTTTTCTCTTATGCAAATGGTCTAATTTGTATAATTTTTTTTATCTGTAGAAGGGAACTACTTCTTGAAAGACAATATGGAACATCTTACAACTAATTTAATTCTGCTAGCTGTAATAATTTCGTGTGTTTTCGCATTGGTACCAAAATCTAAAATGAAATGTGAATGTACGTGTTCTCCTACAAGTAATCCATCAAAGAAATATCTTGCTGTTGGAAATTTGGAGGCTTCTTTTAAACCCAAGACTGAAACTGTAATAAAAACACAAACAATTCCTCCAAGTGTTCCACAGGAGTTATTAGATTCGCCATTCAGGAATGTGGACTCTTCTACAAAACAGGACTCAAAGAGTCCTATAAGCAAAACTATTAAAGAATCGGAAGCAGATTCCAAGTCTTTACCCATAAAACAGAAATTACCTATTGTAAAGAAGGTAGCTATACCACCGGTGCCACCTGTACCGCCCGTACTAAGTTACTCCTCTAATCCAGTGATAGAAAGCACGGTATCACCGACAACTGCGACGGTACGAACCGATTCTCCTAATGACCTAAGTGTAACTCCGTCTGCTTTTCGAAAGGCACAGAGGATGACGTTAAAAGAGTCAAACGAACCTCCAATAAACAAAGTTCTAAAAAGCCCGATAGATTCCCGGAAAATTAATCAGTTGACAAAATCAGAGGTTATTACACTCGATGATATCATTTTCGGTAAGGTGCCGTATGACTTTGGTTCTAGAGGTATTCAAAGAAAATTCTTGACTGAAACGAAAGAACTGGACGCTAAAACTAACACACCAAGCACACTGGATTACTCGAAAACAACTGTAAATAAAACCACTTCTGCGAAGACAATGATCACGGAAACAACAGCCTCAAAAACGCCTAAATCAACATCGGGTGCACCTGAAACGACTATCTTAGAAACTACAGTTACTGAAACCACGACCCCAGAAACAACAACCATCGAGGAAACTTCATCTACCACAAGCCTTCCGACTGAAATGTTATTATCAACAACACCAACAACAATAACAACTACATATGCGCCTACAACTATGCCGACGACAACCAAATCGAAATCTAATCGTGGACTTTTGCCACTTTTTAGAACAGCATACTCAAAAAAGCCAAAGAATCCAGAAACACCTAAGACGACAAACGCTCCAACTAGTCTGAATAGCAAACCTGAAACCAAAACAGTTACAACAATAAAAACAGTACCAACAAAAACAACACCAACTCCATCAACCACAACTCAAAAGCCAACAACAACAACAAGAGCCCCTTCCTCCACTAGAAAACCGAGACCAACACTTCAAACTACACAAAGGCCTTCAACGAAAAAACAACAAACGGCTCCAAAGAAATCGACGTACAATGTACAACGTCCAAAACTTGACAACTCAGCTCAAAGTATTGTAAAGTCACTTATTTCTCAAAATCAAGTTAATCCATCGTATTCTTTTAGTGAATCTTTCAAAAGAAACACTATTAAAAACCTACTTGATGCTTTTAAACCAAATTACATGAAAAAAAGTCTATACACAGTAACGCCAAATCCACGACCAAAACAAGCCGAAGTCGTCCAACCCTACCGTCCTCCAGCAGCCGGACCTTCGAGGATGCAACTTCCTGTTAGTGAAATTCAGTTTGGGCATTTTGATGAGCGAGTAAGTCGAATCGCTCCAACATACCAAGTACACTCCCTGGGATCTCTGTCTAGTATGCGCGGACAGCCACCTCCTAGTCAACAAGTTGCTGTTGTGAACTCTCAAAATTCTCCACAGCAAGTCGTCTATCAAGACCGAGTACAAAGTAGTCCGGAACGAATGAACTGGAATCCAGTTCAAGAGGCAAAAAAATGGGGAGAACCTGTTCGAGAGGCCAAAAAATGGGGAGAACCCCCAAACTGGGCACTTTCACAGCAACAGGTACAGCAGTCACCGTTACAACAACAACAACAACTAGCCTGGAACTCACAGAACCGACAATCATGGAACTCACAACAACTTCAACAACAACAACAAACAAACCTTGAACCACAGAAACAGAGTTTTCCTTCGCCTGGTTTCGCAATCGCAGGAGAGACTCCGCAAGTACCACAAAAAATAAATCCTCCCTTCCCAGGCTTACAATTACCTCCTAAAAGTCAAAGCCCTATCGACTTCCGTGTGCATTAATCAATGTTAATAATTTATCAACATTAGTGTTGGTGCTTTAATCACTATTTATGGACTATTGGTTTTGTGAGGAGCTGTGATTGTGTTATTTGTATGAATTCAATAATTTTGTTATTTTTATTTATTATTTTTATCTTATTTCAATTAAACATCCTTTTTATACTCTTACTGATAATGCTTCACTCTTTTTGTGTCGAACATACGACAGTATTCAACAACACCTAGCTTAGCTAGACTCACCATTCAACTCCCATTCACTAAAATCTCTATATCATCGAAAAACTAGTTTACAAAACACGGGTAGAGAGAGAGAGAGAGAGAGAGAGAGAGAGAGAGATTTGATTTTCAATAATATAATAATATCTGGTAAAGATCAGAGTCCAAACACTCGATATTACACGGATTCGTTAAAATTGTTTATGTACTGGATTTTAGTTTTAATATGGCAATACCCCACAGGCACGTAGTATCCCTTTGAAGGGTGTGGGGGAAAATAAAAAATAAAACATACATAACCAGAAAAAATTGACAAAATAAAAGGAGAAATTTTCAAAGACGAAAATCCCACAGGTACTTGTGGACCCCTTCCACCTCCGTAAATATACATATACCTCCGGGTCAAAGGATATTTTTTATCTTACCTTTTTAATAAATTATTTCTTCACTACACATTTAATACGTACTCCATATGAAAAAAAAAATGAATTAATGCAGAATAAACGTTTTATTAAAAAATCACAGTGGTGGTATTATGATACCCAGGGATATATAATCCGGGGGAAGGGAGGGGGCCCTGTCAACAAGTACCTGTGGAAAATTCTATTTCGTGAGAGGGTTTAGGGTCCAACTTCTGATTAGTCTTTCAAAGAACATCTTCAATAGGTCAATTCTGAAAAAGGGAAGAGGAGCCACCCCCCCCCCATATTACTTGCCGCCTGCCTTTCTAGAATATACCAGCATGTCGTTCATTAGACAGAGACAAGTTCAGAGGACTATTTCTTTCGGATTTACTATAATGATATCAATAGTAATTCATAGGTCAGAAAAAACATGTATATACTCAGTATATAATAAAATTTAATAAGACTTAATCCTGAAGCTTTACAGTAGTAGCATTAAGCATCTTCGGTACATTCACACTCGCTGCTAAGTTCAGGACAGCCGTTGAAATCTTGTGTACACATCATTTGACACCAGTCGTCATGGGTCCTCGAACCCTCGAATGGACCAATCGACTTGCAGGATATTTTCTGACATGTACATGTACAGAACTCTGAGGTACATGTGGTTGTCTTCTTTCGGCAGTGGTCATTACAGAACTGCTGTCGAGTAAGGTCTCCCGCCAATTCTCCCACGCCGTCACACATCAACGTCTAATCAGGTGGGCAGTCCATCAACACGGATTCAGCAGATGTTGTCTCGTGTGTTGGCAGAGTTGTTGTAGGGGCCTCAGTTGGGGCTTGAGTCGTTGGAGCTTGTTGTTGTTGGGCAGGAGTCGTTGGAGCTTGTGTTGTTGGGGCATTGGTTGGGGCAGGGGTCGTTGGAGCGTTGGTTTCAGGGGCTTCGGTTGTAGGTTTTTCAGTGGATGGTGCAGAGGTGGAAGGAACCGTCCCGTCGTTGTCGAAGATGGTAACATCTGCACAGTTAATGAATGTCTCTTGTTTAGAGGCACAACCAAGACAACAATCTCCGTCCTCTGTACAGCCCCATGTGTTACCTAATCACGATATGAATAGTATACGAAGTATAACGTGATGTTAATGATTAACTTTAGATCTAAATAAAACTCTTAATAAACTTTTTTTTAAAATCATAAAACAATTTATCTTGTTACGGATTTTAAGTTCATATTTATAGTGGTACTTTATCAATTTGACAAGAAGGCATACAATTGTGCACTGTTATTACGATTTCACACTTTTTTGTTCGTTTGGAATTTATATATTAAACTGATGCATAGTAATTTCGATTCTTTGTTATACATTTTAAAAAAGTAACGAAGAAATATTGTCAACTCCTGATTTAGTGTATTAATTATACTGTGGAATAATATAGTAAAGTACATGTATATGAACAAAGGACGATGCATGGTACAGGCCGAATCTGGTCCCTTATTTGATGTAAAAATGAGAATGCAGTTAAAATTGTTATAGTTTTGTAGTTAAGAACTCAAAATTATGCCTGTTTTACAACCAGAACTAATTTTGATCCAAAGCTTATGTGGAGACCACAAGAGAGTGCAGAAATAAGACATTTTCCCGAGTTTCTTTAATTCTGGTGGAATTTCGTCAAATTTGAAATATTTTTTACTTCCGAAAACATAGAGCACAGTCTTGCCTATCTGAGATTTATGTATATATCATTTACATTTGATATAAGTGAAATATATAAATTTGGCAGATAGGCAAGCTTGTGCTCTGTGTTTTCTGAAACAAAATGTGCCGTAAAATCGATGAAAATTTGCATAAAATGAGAAAAAATTGGAGGTTTCCATATTTTCTTGCCTTCCTGTGACCTCTATGTATCCCATGACTTCGAACCAATGCTCATTTTGTGGTAGGGGTGACAACAGGTATTTTTTTATGATAAACTGTTGCATTTTTCTAAAATGCACCCAAAACCAGGTGGCCAAAAAGTGGTCTTAGCCCATCTTGTCCTTTGTCCCGCATAACTAGTTTTGTTTAATAAACTTACTTATATGCTACATATTTCCGCTATTTTATGTGTAGATGGCGCATCATGAATATTGTATTTTCATATATTGTAGTTTCAATCTCATGTACCAATAAATGGTTTTAGAGAATAACATTAGCCCCGTTTTCCAAGAAATTTCTATCGAAAGAAAGTCACTGACAACCTAAACTGTTTATTATTGTTCGGTTAAGTGGCCCAAAATTATCCATTTACTAATCTGTCTACTAATTGGCCCTAGATTACCCATTTGTTCCTTCGAATTTTAAGTGTTGTGAGTTCTCTTACCAGCTGTGTAGTGCCATTGAAGGATACACTGTGAACAGACCATGTCTTCTGGAAGCTGAAGTTCTATTTCGTAAAATCCGGTATCCTTCGGATAGAAGTGATGCTCATCGGTTCCCGCTAAATTCAGTCTATGTTGATCAAGGCATTCTTGAGAAACTGGCACGGTTGGGTTGTTATGAGGACAAATTTTGAACTGAAAGTTGCCTAAGTGAGATGCTGTTAGTTGAATTCCAACCTGTAACAGTACAGATGAATGTTTCCTAAGATTCTATAATAATAAATACTTACTTTTTATCTTTCATCTTTCAATTTAAGTACTAGTAATTAAATCAAATAAATAAATAAAGCACAAAACATAGAAAGGTCGATTGAACCACTGCTTAATCCAATTAATAAGAAAACTTTATATCTATCAAACGTTTTTCTCTTAAAAGTTCCCTAAAGTATTGGGTGGTCTACCTTGATTACTTGTCCACGTGTGTAATTTCGACCAATGGCGCCTGTAGCATACATTCCACCAGCCTCGTTTTCACGAACTTCTGCGTCGTAAGCATCGCCACAAGTTCCACATTTTCCATCCATTTCGTCCCATTGTTTCTAAGCATATACAAAGGACCATTCAAAGAATATGATGTCAAAATTTAATGAACTCTAAATGGCCATTATCCATATTTAATAAGACAACATATTAAAAACAACGGTTATCAAATACAGCTAGTTTAGAAATCTTAATCAATGTATACTGATATATAGTGTCTACATCTGAAAATTACATAAAGACAGTTATACCCAAGGTGTTTATAGGTGTTAACCTCTAAATGTAATCACCTTCGTATTTTGGTAACAAGGAAAAAAGCTAAATATAACTATATTTTACAAAAATGTTTAAACCTCAAATCAACCGCAGGATGAAAATCTATAAGCACAGGATACATCCAGTTTTTAAAACCAAAATACTGTATGACCGGGCCACTGTGAGAAATGCCGAACTCTTTTCAAAAACATTTTTGACCCCTTCCCTTCCCCCGTGGAAATCAAAATTCTGAACTTTTTTTCACAGTTGTAGGAAAATCAACATACAAAAATTTTATTGCACATCTAAAGGACTTTTTTTTCATTTGACTCAGAACTGCCATAAATCACACAGATGCAAATATCATTGTGTTTATTATTCTTGATATTTTGAGTGATCTTTTTTATGCATCCATTTTCATAAACAATTTATCGAGAAAAAAAAATCCGGAAAGTTTGCACTTCAGATACATTCAAATGCAGTAAACTTGACATTAGTATTTGCAGCTGTATATAGCTTCTTCAACATGTAATTTTATTATCTGTGTGTTACTGAATAAGATTTTTTTATCTCTAACTTTTCCGTCGACTTTTTCGTTACTCTTTAAAATGTTATTTATTTTTTTAATGCGGTCTATTATTGAGCTTGTTGAAGAGCTAATCATATCCATTAAAAGTGCTTTTAAGAAGGCACACAAGATGCAACCATTTGAAGATTTTATTATATAGACCTATTTTAAGAAAAATAATGTGGGATTTTCTGCGCACAAAATTGGACAAATGTTGATGGTAGCAATAAAATTTCTAAATTTAGGGAACAAATGCGAGAAAATTAACATGCAGAATGTCTAGGGACAGGGGACATTTCTCTCTATATGTGGACGATCTTGTACTCTGCGGCGATTTTTTAATTACCAACTCCGATAAAATCCTATGATACACGTCAAATTATAATTACAGATCAGTATCTGTTTATTTCCAATCTGAAAAAGTAATGCTTGCGGCTGATTCATCGTAATTATTACATTTTATGACTTTCTGTGAAAATGTACTAAAATTTAAAATAAGAGGAATATATCGCTTAATTCAGAGAACAATGCTTGTATATATATTAAGCCTTTTCCATATGAAAATTCATAACATTTTTTTCTATAATGACAGGGAAAAGGAGAAAGATCTATAATTATACTGTGTTTATTTCCAAATAAGGATTTTCTTAACAATCATCAAAAAGGCGAATTTTTCTCCCTAAAGTTTCATTTCATTTCTTTCATTTTCTATAATAGTTTTGTCATATCGATATACATGTAATACAACCGAATTAACCCGATATACTGGATCTACAACCTTTTCTTTATAGCATTTTAATATACATTAATATAGCCCATGAGTTGTTT